GCATCCCCTCCAGCAGCACTACCACCACCACCAGCCGCCGCCGCCGCGGAGGCCCGAGGTTCTCCGCTCGTCGTCGTCGCCCGGGCCTTCCTCCTCCTCGTCGTCGTCGTCGTCGTCCTCCTCTTCGTCGTCGTCGTCGTCGTTGTCGTCGTCCTCGGTGCCGGCCGCCTGCTCGCCCAGAAGCAGCAGCAGCAGCATGGTCCGGGAGACCAGGCACCTCTGGGTGGGCAACTTGCCGGAGAACGTCCGCGAGGAGAAGATCATCGAGCACTTCAAGCGGTGAGTCTGGCAGGAAGGGAAGGGAAGGGAAGGGATGGGGGCTCCGCCAGAATCAGAGGGCCAGGATTCAAATACGGGAGGAGGGGAGGTATTCGCATCCCACGCGCCTTAAAATGGGGAAGAGGAGAAGGAGAGGCTCCTGCGACAGCCTTGGGGAGGAAAGAGGGGTCCTGTGCCCCACCCGTACCCCAGTCTTGACTGGGAGTAAAGGAGTAAAGGAGGCCCCTGGGGTAGAAAAGGGGTGACTCAGAGGGCTGGGATGGGGACAAAAGCAGATGTTAAAAATAGGCCCCTCAGCTGAGTGTCAGGCCCAGTTGGCCAGTGGACAGGCAGGGAGAAGGAGTCCTCTCCCCCCCCCCTTCCCTCTGCCTGAAACACCTTGGGAGGCCATGGTGTTTTCCCTGCATGTGTTTGGAGGAGGAGAGGAGAGCCTTTTGGATCCAAGCTATGATCTGAGAGGGGGTGGGGGTGACACAGGGAACTGAGCCCCCTGGTTAAAGCGGAAGGGAGTTCCAGAGTCCAGAAATGGGAGGACAGAGAAATCGGGAAGGTGCCTTAGGAGAGGGTTTGGGAAGGGCCAGAGGAAGCAAGGGCACCCTGCCTTCTTAGGGGAAAGGAAGAGGAAAGACACAAAAGAGCCCAGGGAAAAGGAGGGAAACTCAGTTTAGATACTGGAGGGAGGGGGTCAAGAGGTGAAAGGAGAAGGGAAATGTCACATATGTACAAGGGAGCTTTCATGTCCAAGAAGAGGGCCTTTTCCTCTTGAAGTTGAAGGGAGAAGTGAAGGAAGGAGGTTATGTTAATTTGTCAACGAATTAAAAAACAAAACTAAATACAGAGGGCCCTACCTGGAGAAGGGCTTGTGGGGCAGGGGCTACATGGATGAAAAGCATGTGGTTGTGATGTGGGGTGGGGGAAATGAGCGATCCACCAAGGGCTGTGTGGACAGAACAAATGAACAGAAAAGGCCTGATTTGGGCACGGTCCTTTCAGTACGAAGCCAGGCTGGAGGACGAGGAGGAGCGGCAGCAGCAGTGGCAGCCATGGGTGCCTGGGAAAATATCTCTCGGCTTTACCACAGTTCCAGCCTTGTGGACTTGGTGGGACTGGAAATATCTGGGATTCTTGAGAGAAGGAAGTGGAACTGCTCTTGGAGAAGAGAAAAAACCCCTCCATATGGAAGGATTAAGGATCGCCTCCTTCACATGGACCTTGAGGAATATGGCTGGACATCAAGGAAAGAAACGACAGAGTTTCAGGGCTCAAGATCACTGGAAGATGGGAGAGTTGGGTGGCTTTCAGAGCCAGGACACACTTCCAGTGCCGTCAGCTCCAGGGATTGTAATGGAAACTGTTCTTACCTTCAGAGAGATTCGTTTTTTTCCCATGTTTTCACATTGCCAGTGTACATTACAGGAATTAAGGAGGTTTTATTCTTTATATATATATATATATATATACATATTGCTTTTACAACATGGATTTAACCTTAATGAGTTTTGGCTAGTTGGCTTTTGTTTCATGATCCAGTGACTGCATCATTCCTTTATTTACATTTTTGTTCAATTTGCTCTTTCTTGAGACAAAGTAGTTATAAAAAAGGCACAAACCTGGAAATTCAAGGAAAACCTATCATCCTCCCCATTTGTTTTGGCTTCTGTGCTGTGGAACTTTTTTTTTTTTTGGATGGCTGACTCCAAGTCTAAATTGGTATTGTTATTTGAATTCGTAATCTCTGTTGTTCTGCTTTATAGAGCCATTGAAGCAAAAATTATATTTGAATGCCCTTTTATTCACAAGGAATCTTAATCATGGTTCTCTGGACACTTTAATGATAGTTAGCCTAATAATGCCAGCTTTGTGTCTGTGACTTTTGTAATAATGGATACATTGGGGGGGGGGAGGCAAAAGTTGCAGAAAAGGACACCATGTTGTGGGAGTAATTTCAGGCTGTAGCATTTGTGGCGTTATATAAGAGCAGCAGGACACTGAATTCTAGGGAACTGCTTTGGTCAGCTAATTTTGTTTTTCCCATTCAAGAATCTGAAAAGAGTTGTGGATTTCTTACTGCTGTCTGGAGTGGGGAAATTATTGAGCATATCTAATGAGTCACCATGGGAAAAATAGACTTTATTACTAGCTAATGAGAGAAACCAGCTTGGTGGTTGAAGCAGGGGAGAAACTGTGAAGACCGTCAGATACCTTGGTCTATGCCTGCTCCCAGACCGGGTATAAATTTATGACAATGACCCCAGCCTGTAATTTTAGGTTGGGGGGAGGAATATTTTGTTCTGCCTCCATTCGTCCCCCACCTAGCAGCTTAATCTCATGGGTTGGGCAAGAGAGAACAGGCAGCTTGTGCTGCATTAGAAGACAGGCATTCAATTTTATTTCAGCCCTTAATATTTAAAATGGTGTGTGTTGGGGCAGGAAGGGTGGACACAGCAGCTTTGCATTTCTTGGTGCTCCTGCTACAAATTGAAATGTGCAGGAGCAAAGGCTCAATTTTCTTTCCTTGTGGTTTTTGTGATTTGGCTGGGGGGGAATGCACTGAGAGAAGCGCACATGGACGCAGGCTGTGTATTGCAGCATTTGTTCTCCTTGGCAGGTTGTAGCCTGGCTTGTCCCTTGGCAGCCCTGTCTGTTCTGAGGCATTTTCATGCTTTAAAGAGGAAATATGTTCCTTTGTACGTTGTTGGCTGGGGAGGGGAGGGAGAAGCGTGTTTGGAGGTTTCTTTTCCAAGTGGTGCAGAGTGCAGTGGCTTAACTGGTGTGAATGCCTTTCTAAAATGGCGGCCAGGACCCAGTTGATGTAGGAAAGAACAGAGCCCATCTCAGGGGGAGTTTTGTAAAGCAGGCAATGTAACCAGAGACTTTGCCCAGCTCCCTTGTTACAGCTGCCTGAGCTTTCTTGAAATGTGCAAAGAGAAGAGATGACTTAGAAATGAGCAGTTGCTGTGGTGGAGTGTAATCGTGTGCTCTCTCTGTGTGTGTCTCTCTCTCTTACACATGCACACGAGACTGCATGTGGAACATCCTCTTTTGAGCAAGCTCTTTATCCATTGCAAAGAACCAAGTACTACTCCCTTCTCAGTTTTGTCAGGATCAAGCTTGTGCTGTATGGTATGAAACACAGAGAAGATTTAATTTTAGGTTAAAGTCTAGTACAAGTCCAGCAAGGTATTTCTTGATAGCTATTGCATAAAACTGAAAATGCCCCCTCCAGCTTTTCCCCCTTTTGGCAAGAATCTGAAACCTTTGTTTGGAAATACTGACTGCCAGAGGCTTCAAACAAATATAATTCTGTTCTATTGGGCAAAATTTTTTTTCTGCTAAAATATGTTGGGGGTGGTGGTGATAGAAAAATGGTTGTGGTTTGCTTTTGCTGGATTATCTGAGATTAAGCACTAGGATTGTGGATGGATTCCTCAGCAGAGAATTAAATCTGTCCCCCCCCCCCCCGGTCGTCTTCACCTGCTTTTCACAGAGCTTTTTTTATGCTGAGCAAAGTTGCTGTGGTGCTGTTGCTTTAGTGATAGATCAGGAAAACAAGGGCCTGAATGAACTGGGTCTCTCTTTCATTTTTCTGAATGTGTTTTTAGTATAACTGCTAGTCTCCAAAGCTGGCCATGTGGATATATTTGGTTCTCATATTTAGGATTTGCTGTGGAAAACATCAGTAAATGAGTCAATTGCCTATTGCTGAATTAATCCTGTACTTAAAAACATTTTTTCTTCAGCATCCGGCCACTTGGTTTACCAGATGCTTTAAATATCTCATATCTGCTGAACTGAGATTTGGTTGGCAGAGGGCCATTGTGTTGGTACAGCATCCTCACAATAGAGCAAACCTCCCTTTGTATGTCCCTAGAATGGGTAGGGAAAGGAATCAGTTGCCAGAGATGGTTTGGCAGCTTCCTTTGCTTTGCCTTACTGGGCTCTCCATATCCACCTGAAAGGTGACATCTTGCAGTTGCCTGTCCAGGGGAAGGGTTAATAATTGGAAAAGGCTGTCCTTCCTTAGGAGGGGAAAAATCCTTCTCAGATTTAAGCTGGTCTCTGTGGCATAAAGTTCCCACCCTTCCCCCAGCCTGTGAATAGGACAAAGAATACGCAGAGCACCGGGGCAGGCAAGCAGTAATTACCATCCTGTAGCTACAGAAGCAAAGAGCTCTCTCAAATTAACCGATCCTTAGCAGAATGTAGCCCAATAAGAGTTGCTGGAAAATCATCAGAGGAGAATAGGTTGAAACAAGATGTTTTCATTGCATGCATATTTCTGGTTGTAACAAGATCCATATTTCTGGGTTACAAACTTCCTTAGAGATGTTGATTTTTTTGAAGGTGAAGAAGAAAGTGGTTTAGAATGAAATACACTTCCAGAAAAAAATGTCAAGGGTATTAAGATACTGTATGAAGGCTGAAGGGAATTTTATTTGCTTGTGGCAAATGCGTTTCACAGCATCACATATAAGCAAACTCATTGTCTTTGCCAGACTTGGTGATAAATGCATTTGCAAAACCATGAGTCACTTACATGCCATGTTTATTTTGTTTTGTAACTTTGTTTCTTTGTCGGAGAAAATGCATGCAGAACATGTAGAAGGTTTATCCAGTATTTTTGTCAGTTCTCAAGTAAACATGATCCTCTTTGGAAAACAGCCCTGAAGTGTGGTTTCTGTGGGAGATGCTAAGGTCCATGGAAGCTCATGCCAAATACTGTAAAACTAAAAGTTCTTTTTTATTATTCTTTAAGGTACTTGCAGGGGCCTTTATTGGCTTTGCAACAGTGGGCTGAAATACCTCTTGAAAATGTTCTGTTCTAAATATTTTACAGAGTTTCAAAAGGTGAAAAATTGAGTCTGTGTTCTCAAGGAGTTTACTATTGAAATTTACTGTTAGGTTACTATGTTAAAAGGTGATGATGATGGATGTGACAGAGAGGATGACGAGTAATTCTTGAATCATGCATTTCTTTATCTCTAGGACATGATAAATTG